TTGGCCAGTCCGGGAGCTTGAACTCAGGACCTGGGCATTGTCCCTGAGCTTTTGCTCAAGGATAGCTCTCTACCACTTGAGCCAGAGCACCACTTCTGGCCTTTTCTGTTTATGTGGTATGAAGGAATTCAACCCAGCGCTTCATGCATGCTAGGGAAGCACTCTACCACTAAGCCACGTTCTTAGCCCTTCCCTGGATTTTTAAAAGATAATGTTTGAATAATGGCATTTGCAGGGAAATGGATGGAGCTAGAAGGAATCATGTTGAGCGAGGTAAGCCAAGAACGAAGAGATAAAAGGTATATGGTCTCCCTGATAAGTGGATGCTAAATCCAAAATGTTAGGTGATATGACAAAACTAACAGGACTTAAGAAACAAAGAACTCCCACTCATCTGGTTGAACCACTATTAAATATCCCCACACTACTGATCACATATATGGTATATAACATGTGAGCACCGTTATATATTACAGACTGTGATAGACAATTTGCTCCAGGAAAGTTAGAATGAACTTGTGACTTTAAATGAGCATCATTATTCCACAATACTGTGAATTTCCGGAAATTATGTAATCACTTAATCACAATCAAAAAAAAAAAAAAGGACCTAGGGGAAGGGAAGGAGGGAGGGGATGATGGTAGGGGGAAAACAATGGAGGGGGTAGCAATGTTCAAGAGGAAGTGTACCCATTACCTCACTCATGTAACTGTAACCCTCTGTATAGTATCTTTACAATAAAAAAAAAAAATCTTGGCTGAACCAAAGTCCCCTCTTGGAGACACAAGCCATTAAAATTCAAAAGATATCAAAAAAAAAAAAGATAATGTTTGAGGAATGTATGCAAGGTAGCAATTCCTTAACATAGCCACACTTTCTTTTCAGTGCAAGTGATAAGGAAGTCTCTTAACAAAGAAATACACTTTCACAATAGACTTAAAGCAGAGCATCTCTAAGGAGAGAATGACAATGATTTTTACCCCAGCACAAGTTTTATTAGAAGTATAAGAGAAGCACTAAGTCCTTCCCCAAGACCAGCCAAGGGGACAGAATCACTGTCCCAAAGGAAGAGGAGGTTTATTGAATGATATCTGACCTCTAGAGCATGGTTTTACACATCTGGGTAAGTAAGCTAAAGATTTATACAAGCTACATTCTTGACGAAGAGACATAAACGTTTGAGAATGTATGCAGATCACTAGATCACAAGATGAAACAAACATTTTCTAGTACTACCTACATTGTATGCTGGTCTGATGCATGTTTGTCTATACATGGTTTCCTTTCTACAACTTGAGCCAAGCCTCCAACCCCTATACATGATATCTAAGAATATGTGAGAAGCTGGGCGCCAGTAGCTCACGCCTGTAATCCTAACTACTCAGGAGGCTGAGATCTGAGGATTGAGGTTCAAAGCCAGCCTAGGCAGGAAAGTCCGTGAGACTCTTATCTCCAATAAACCACTAGAAAATCGGAAGTGGCGCTGTGGCTCAAGCGGTAGAGCTGAAGAGCACAGGGTCAGCACCCAAGCCTAGAGTTCAAGCCCCATGACTGACCAAAAAAAAAATAATAATAAAATAAATAAATAAATAAATAAATAAGAATGTGTGAGGGAGCTATGAACTAGAGAATCTTAACTACTAAACAATATCTAGTCATGAGCTTAAAAAAAAAAGATGGTAACATCCATAACATATAAAACATATAAACATATAAAACATACAAACATATAAAATATTATATATATGTATATATATATATATACACACACATATATACATATATATATAATGCAAGACAATGTGCAAATTATTGATTACCTTTCAGGGTTTCCAGCAAATTTTTGGCTACAAACCAACATATGGCTTCAAAGAAAGGGAATTTGAAAAGATCCGGTGTCTTTAGTCTTTTCTCCATCTCATAACACCTAAGTGAAAAAAATTGAAGAAACGTTTATTGTTAGTATTAGCATTTTGAAGTTAAATAAAGGTTAACAGATTTGAAAATAAAAATAAGCATGCCAATAAGGTGCTATATTGTACTTAACACCACATTCACACAAGTGAACTGTGTTCTTACACAGCTTCTGACCTTCATAAATTTGCCAATATACTTAAGAATTACTTTGAGCTTTGTAAAAGATCACTTTGAAATTTGTGTCCTAGTTTTAATAGAAGATATTTAATGAGGGCCCTATTAATTAATAAAACACTATGTTTTTAAAAATCAGCTCCATGTGTTCAACAACTCTGCAATACCCACTAGACTTTGGTGAAGACCACATTTGGCACTTTTTTTTTTCTGGTTTTCTGGTGGTTATTGCAGATAAGAGTCTTGCATATTTCCCTGCTAGGGCTGGCTTTGAACTGCAATCCTAATATTTCAGCCTCCTATAGGCATGAGCCACCAGCACCTGGCTCACATTTGGCACTTAGTATGAGTAGTGTAAGGATACGAGCCATAGTCTGCCACAAGGTTAGTCTTCTGTCAGAATCCTTGCAAACTCATGAAGCAAAACTACCTCTTCCCTAGTTACAGCTCAGTATTAAATGACAAAATCTAGGGATGGAGGCAAGGCTTAGTTTGTAGAGTGTCAGCCAATGAACAAAAGCATCAGGTACTAAGTTCGAGTTCCAGTCTCAGACTTAAAAGAAAAAAATCTGAGCTGATGGCTCATACCTGTAATTCTAGCTACTCAGGAGGTTGAGATCTGAACATCACTGTTCAAATGCAACCCAGGTAAGAAATCTGTAAGACACCTCTAATTTTAGAAAGCCAGAAGTGGAGCTGTGGCTCAAGTTGTAGAGTGCTAGCATTGAGCAAAAAGCTCAAGATCAGCACTCAGGCCCTGAGCTTAAGCTCCAGGACCAGCAAGGGGGGTGAGGGGGAGGCTGTCACACACTTAAGTGAGTATAAGGCCTACAGTGGCTTAAAGCCTCATACACTGAAAAGCCATTATTTCCTGTAATAATGCCACAAACGCAGACTGTTCAGGTGCCCCATGACATGTAAAGTTATGAGTCACTAAATTCGGAGAACCTGATGATATGACCTCCCACCAGGTATTTCTCAGTTCTCTAAACACTCATCTAGTTTATCAATCATGAATCATTTTCAACATAAGCAGTGTTGCCTTATAAGATGTACTCTCAGAGCTCAAGGACAGCTCCCAGGCCCTGAGTTCAAGTCCTACCACAGACAAAAATAAAAATAATTTTAAAAGATGTACTCTCATTAAATTACCTGGGGAAGGAACAGAGTTACACAAAGGTCAATTCTCATACAAAAGGGGAAAGAGCTGTTAATCCCTTACCTGAAACAAAACTAAAGCAAATGTTTTGACAACAGTCCTGACTTAAGGGTTGCTTTGTTTCAGCACAAGTCATACCAGAATCTGACTGATTTCATTTATTTCCCTTGTTGCAAAAATAGCCCAAGGACCTTTGCAGAAAATTTTAATAACATACCAAGTAAGTTATTAATTTTGTTTTAGATTTGAAAGAATCCTCCTGACAAAATTTGAAACGATTCTTTTTTTTTTTTTTGGTCCGGTCATGGGGCCTGAACTCTGGGCCTGGGCGCTGTCCCTTAGCTCTTCAGCTCAAGGCTAGCGCTCTACCACTTGAGCCACAGTGCCACCTCCGGCTTTTTTTTTTCTTTTTGCTTATGTGGTGCTGAGGAATCGAACCCAGGGCCTCTGGCATGCAAGGCATGCGCTCTACCACTGAGCCACCTTCCCAGCCCCGAAACGATACTTTTTTTAAAGTTTCTATTCGTAATCATTTCTCAAGGTCTAGCTCCACAGGATTTCAAATAAAAGATGTTGTGATTTTAATTTAAAAAAGAAATTAAAATAAAAAATAGAAAAAAAAATTTAAAATAAAAATTTTATTTAAGAAAGAAGCAAAAGATCCTTTCAATGACACAAACCTGAGCTGCATGCCAATATTAAGATTGTGCAGAAAGTTTCCCCCAAAAGCCATACAGTCCTGAGAAGTGAGCACAGCATGAATCCACCCTGCAATGGTTACAAGTATATAAATCAGTGATCTTTCAACATTTAAACCAAACAGATGTGTCACTTACCAATAAGAAACTTAAAACATCAACACCAGCTGATAGTCAGCATTAACTGAACAAGTTAATGCTTATGACAATTGATTAATTCATTCAGATATTTATTAAGTGCCAGTAATATGCTAGGCTTTTTCTAAGTTTGAGAAATAAAATGAAGGCTTTTGGTAATTGTTTTTGTTTTCTTAGTTTTAAACACGACCCAACTTTACAATTAAGGATTTTACTCTGAGACAACTCAAATCTGGTTTGAATTGGAAAAGCACATATTCCATTAAAGACTGGCTGGGCATGCTGCTCCTTTAGCGTCACACTGAACTGAGGGCCCTGCAAGGAAACTAACAGAAGACCAGGGGCCTCAATCTGAGACTGGACTCTGCAAAAAGAAAAAGGCAGATTACTCACAATTAATAGTTGAGTCATAGTCCATGTTGGTAATCGAAATGATGGCATTTTTTTCCCATTAAAGTGTTTTCAAATTAAAATCTAAGAGCTGATGCTTAACTTTTTAATGTTTATAGAATGTTTATAGAATTAGTATGAAGACTTTATAGAAATATAAATTCTTCAAGGAATTCATATAAGTACAAAGCCTGTTTATTAGTGATCTATGTCCAGACACTTGAATTCTATTACATATTAAACCAAAGTATTTCTGCATTGTTTTTGACACAATTTCTAGGAATACAAGAACTCTGTAAACTGAAACAAACTATAGTTTGTTTAGAAGTCTGTCAATTATCAATAAGCTTGAGAAAAAATTATATCATCTATACACCTGCATGAGTCAGGAACATGTTAAATAATATAAATGCTCACAACCAAGTAAAGTAGGACACATCTATTTAATCCCAACACTTGAGAGAAGAGGGAAAGAAGGGAAACAAAGAGAAAGGAGTCATGTAAGAAAGAGAGAGAGGGAGAGAAATCCTCTGGCCTATCCCAGATCTACTGAGTCAGATCTTGAGAATAAGCCTCAGAAATCTAAAGTTTAATAAGCCCTCCATATATACCTGATGTTTGAGAACTGCTAACTTACACCAATTTGAGTAGCCACTAGTACACATGTGCAATAGTTTGTTGACTAGTGAAGTTAAAAAGTTTGTCCTAGCTAAGCTAGGCACTGGAGGCTCATGCCTGTAATCCTAGCTACTCAAGAGGCTGAGATATAAGGATCGCATTTCAAAGCCAATTCAAGCCAGCTCTTGTGAGACTCTTATCACCAATAAAGTACACAAAAAAGCCAGAAGTGGTGCTGTGGCTCAAGTGATAGAGCACTCTCCTTGAGCAACAGAAGCTCAAGGACAGAGCCAGGGCCAGAGTTCAAACCCCAGGACTAGAAAAAGAAAAAAAGTTCATTCTGTCCCCTAATGCTGCTGTGCAAACAAACACATATTGAAAAAGAATTTCATGGTTTGGGCACCAGTGGCTCACTCCTGTCATCCTAGCTATTCAGGAGGCTGAGATCTGAGGATTGTGGTTCAAAGCCAGCCTGGGCAGGAAAGGCCAGGAGACTCCTATCTCCAATAAGAACCAGAAAACCAGAAGTGGAACTGTGGCTCAAAGTGGTAGAGCACTAGCACTACCCTTGACCAAAAGAGCTCAGGTACAGCCCTGAAACCCTGAATTCAGCCCCATGACCAATATATATACATATACAGAATTATAAACTGCCTTTAAACTTCTTCCTGACATTCTAGTTGGTCATTAGATACAGACACACACACACACACACACACACACACACACACACACACACACACACACACACACACACACACACAGGATGTTATATTACTTATGAATTCCAATTCAAGATTATAAAGAAGGCACAACAAAATATTTATTAAGAACAGGGGCACCAGGAAGAGGATTTAAAAGAAGAGCATAAGCACTCAATGAAAATACTGATACCTATTCTAGACATAAATTCTGGTAGTTCTAGGCACTGATTATTTATTCAAGCACATATTTATCACTCGATAAACCAGAGAGGCAAGGTGAGAAAGCAAAGCCTGGAGTAACAGAGCCCAGTCAATTCCATGGCCATTGAAGTCAACCAAACCAGAAGAACATACTTCGTAAAACCTCTAGCCTGGGGAATAATACTTGGCATTCATTCACATTTCAAATCAACACACTTGTACCTATGCTCGAGATACAGAGATATTGGCAGTTCCTCAAAAAGTTAAACATAGTTAAGCAATTTCACTACTTGGTATATATATACCTATATATATACCTAAGAGAAATGAAAACACTCATGAAAACTTGTACATGAGTGTTCAAAGTAGCATTATATATAACATTCCAAGTAGAAAGAACCCAAATGTCCATCAACTGATGAACGGATACACAAAATATGGCAAACCCTACAATGAACAGGCCATAAAACAATAACATACTTACATGTGTGACACAAAAGTACATATATGAAGCGTCCAAAACAGGCAAATCCACAGAAACAAAGAATATTAGTAGAGGGTTAGAGAATGAGGGGAGTAAGCATGACTACTAAAAGGTGTGGGGTTTATTTTGTAGACAGTGAAAATGTACTATAATCAGACAATGGTGATGGTTGTACAACTTCATTGATCTAAAAAAAATCACTAAATTGTATAATTTAAAAGGATAAATATTATAGTATTTGGATTCTATTTCAATATAAATTAAAATGAAAGCAAATGACATAAAATAATGCCAAAAGAAGTTCAACTTATAAGACAAGCCCTTTAAGGGACAAATAAGCAAAATATTCAAGATCAGAAATTTCTTAGATAAGTCAATTAAAGTCGACTGCCAAGCATGTAGCCAAACATAAAGCCAGATGTTCTCTGGAGAAGGGGAGATTAAATTAAAATCTTACCTGTAGGAACAAATAAGGTATGTCCCTGCTTCACCACACATTTGTAGCATTTATCAACTTTATCTCCAAAGAACACCTCACTCTGAGTCACAGATGAACTCCAAGATTCATAGAGTGCCAAATTTTCATTTGTTGGCTTTATCAAATAAAAAATCTTCTCACCCTAGAAGAAAGTAATTGTACCATTTTTTAAAAAAATTAGAAGCCATTCTTAGAATGGCCCACATGGTAGATTGTGGTTTTTCCCTACACAAGGATCTAAAGTAAGGCAGATAGCTAAATTTTAAAAGTCAGCAGTTACAATTCATTCAGTCAGCATTTCCACAGAAGCTCTTCCCACCCCCAACTGACATCATGTTGAAGAAATCATTGCAAAAGAGGAAGATTTTTTTTTAATCTAAGTGAAATGAACCCCAAGATATGGACACAAGAGTTCTGTCTTTATTGTTTTAAATGTACCATGTGATTTTATTTTTTGTTGTTGATGTTTCCTTTGTATGTTCTTTCCCCTGTTGTCACTGTACTTGATTTTGGTACCCTGTATCTTGTATATACATTTGTCTAATCTGGGGATGGGAAGGGGACTAACAAAACACTGAAACAAGGACACAGGATGACCCATTGCAACAAGGATACCCACAGGACAGTATACTGGAAACAAACTTTACAACTTTGGTCAGGGGGAGGGGGGGGAGATAGTGGGACAACAAGGAAAGGGGTAACAATGATCGACAAGTAATGTACTCATTATTCATGTAACTGTAACCCCTCTGTATAGCATCTTTACAATAAATTTTAATTTTTTTAAATAAATAAGTAAATAAACCACAAATGCCAGGCACCTGTGGCTCACATCTATAATCCTAGCTACTCAGGAGGCTGAGATCTGAGGATCCTGGTTCAAAACCAGCCCCGGCAGGAAAGGCAGGAAAGTCTGTGAGACTCTAATCCCCAATAAACCACTCAGAAAGTGGGAAGTAGAGCTGCGGACTTAAGTGATAGAGCACTAGCCTTGAGCTGAAGAGCTGAGTGACAGCAGCACCCAGCCCAGAGTTCAAGCCCCATGATCTACCGACCAACAAAATAATAAAAATTAATAAATACCCACAAAAGCCGGGCGCTGGTGGCTCACGCCTGTAATCCTAGCTACTCAGGAGGCTGAGATCTGAGGATCGAGGTTCAAAGCCAGCCCGGGCAGGAGAGACTGTGAGATTCCTATCTCCAATAAACCACCAGAAAACCGGAAGTGGCGCTGTAGCTCAAGTGGTAGAGCGCTCGCCTTGAGCTGAAGAGCTGAGGGACAGCGCCCAGGCCCAGAGTTCAAGTCCCACAACCGACAAAAAAAAAAAAAAAAAAAAAAAAACCTACAAATAGCTCATTGATGACTTCTCAGTTTTTAAAGGGTAGAGGCTGGGAAGGTGGCTCAGTGCTAGAGTGTTTGCCTTGCATGCATAAGGCCCTGGGTTCAATTCCTCAGCACCACATAAGCAGAAAATGCCAGAAGTGGCGCTGTAGCTCAAGTGGTAGAACGCTAGCCTTCAGCTGAAGAGCTGAGGGACAGTACCCAGGCCCAGAGTTCAGGCCCCACAACCGACAAAAATAAATAAACAAATAAATAAACAAACAAAAGGTAGAAGTACATGTTAATAGGCTCTAGATATCAGCACAATCATTTTGCAAACTTTGTCCTAAGGTCTATACCGTAATGATTATGTTTAAAGACTTGTAAATGAATTTTAGCTCACTAACTCCATCCTGATGGATAATAGGAATACAACATCAAATAAAAGCACAAGTATCTGAAAAAATTTGGTGCCTGACCAATGTTTCAACAGAACTATGTGTGGTGATGGAAATTTTTTTCTAACTGTGCTACCCAGGGCAGAAATCACTAACTTCAGGTGGTTACTAAACACTTTCAATGTACTAAAACAAGGAACTGAATTTTTAATTATGCTGAATTTCACTTCAATTTAGTCACACATGAATAATAGATACTCTATTAAGTAGACTGATATTCTAGATAAAGCAAAGTGAATGTAAAACTACAAAGAGTATTTTATGGGCATCTGTGAACTTATTCAACTACTTAATCAATTTTAAGGCCAAAAGCAATTATTATGCAAATGTTGCTCCTTCTTAGTTATTTATGGACTAGTGGTAATTTATGAGAGTAGGTAAAGAGGAAAAAAGAGACATAAGGTTAACTGAAAACCAAATTAAAAAACAGAATAAAGACAGGTGCTGGTGGCTCATGCCTGTAATCATAGCTACTCAGGAGGCTGAGATTTAAGGATCATAGTTCAGTTCAAAGCCATCCCAGGCAGGAGAGGCCATGAAACTCTTGTCTCCAATTAACCACCAAAAAAACCAGAAGTAGCACTACGGCTTAAGTGGTAGAGTGCTAGCCTTGAGCTGAAGAGCTGAAGGACAATGCTCAGGTCCAGAGTTCAAGCCCCATGACCAACCAAAAAAAAAGGAACTTATCTAGGTTAACAAGGAGAACAAAGGAGATTTAATATGATCAAAATTTATTATTCGCAACTATGAAAATAAAATGAGACCTGTTGAAACTGTTTTGGGAAAGGGGGAATAGGGATGAGGAGAACAAATTATAGGGTAAGATTTACCAGAATATATTGTAAACGTGTGTGGAATGTAATAATGAATCTCTTCCCTGTGTAACTAAAGTAAATTAAAAACAAAAACAATATTTATGGCTCTTTTATTGGAATTACAAAAAAATAAGTAGGGGCTGGAAAGGTGGCTCAATGGTAGAGTGCTTGCCTTGCAGGCATGAGGCCCTGGGTTTGATTCTTCAGCACCACATAAGCAGAAAAAGCCGGAAGTGGGGCTGAGGCTCAAGTGGTAGAGCACTAGTCTACAGCTGAAGACCTGAGGGACAGTGCCCAGGCCCAGATTTCAGGCCCCATGACCAAAAAAAAAGGTAATGCTTAAAGGCAAAGTAATATCCATAGTAAAAAAAACTTCCTCCTTTACAAATGTTATTCACAGGGGCTGGGAAGGTGGCTCAGTGGTAGAGCGCTTGCCTTGCATGCCTGAGGCCCTGGGTTCGATTCCTCAGCACCACATAAGCAAAAAGCACCACATAAGCACTGTGGCTCAACAGTAGAGTGCTAGCCTTGAGTTGAAGAGCTGAGGGACAGAGTTCAGGCCCCACGACCGGAACAAAGAAAAAAAAGAAACAAATGTTATTTACAACACATGAATGCACCACCAGAAAATATGATGTGCTTTTTGTCAATATGAGAACAAATACCCTAGTCTTACCCAGAGGACATGGTACCAGACTGAAGTCCCACCGAAGTCAATGTGGAAATCTGTATAGCTGTCTTGAACTCCCATTAAGCAGTATTTCTGAACAAATGGCTTGGGAAACACTGAATCATCCGGCCAATAATTTTCAACCCAGGAAAGTTTTCTGGCTATATCAGGGACCTCCACCAATTCAGACATCCTTTTAAAAAAAAAAAACAAACATACACACACACACACACATAATACAAATTAAGATTTCTTAAAATTGTTTTTCCCAGATCAACCCAAACCAAGTAATTAACTGCAGCTCAAAGTTAATAACAATGATTAAAAAGTTAAAACACAACATATTTAAAAATATTCTCTGAGCCTGCCAAAGCAAAATTTACAACACTGTTATCAAGAGATAGCTACAGAAGTCACAATTTCTTTTTTTTTTTTTTTTTTGTGGGTCATGGGGCTTGAACTCTGGTCCTGGGCACTGTCCCTCAGCTCTTCAGCTCAAGGCAAGCGTTCTACCACTTAAGCCACAGTGCCAGTTCCGGTTTTCTAGTGGTTTATTGGAGATAAGAGTCTCACGGACTTTCCTGCACGTGCTGGCTTTGAACGAGATCCTCAGATCTCAACATCCTGAGTAGCTAGGATTACAGGCGTGAGCCACCAGCGCCCGGCTTCACAATTGTATTTCTTACTAAAATAAGTAGATCATTAATCATTTATCTGAAACTCAGAATACTATACCAAAATGTTCAGAAGTACTCACTTGGTATCTGAAAATTCAAGGCTGATCACATTTAACACTTTTGGTCTGTTAGGATTTGTGAAGTATTTAACATAATTGTGAAGCGTCATTTTGCTGTCAGCCTGCCTTGCCACATCAATGACATCTATCACTTTGTCACCACCTGCAGAGAAAAATTACAGTCTTATTTGGCTTAAGGGTTATCTCAAAAGATGCCCTAAACAAAAGTATTTTAAAGACCATACTTAGTATAATAGTAACAAATATAAAATCCATAGCTGCAAAACTAACACTGAATAAAAAGTATATTATATTTCTTGTATGCAGCTATAAGAATAAAAATACAGTGGGATGTGAAAATTGTCAAGACATTTTCTAGATTTCAGTTTCCTCATGTATAAAATGAGAGGATGGATTTTCCCTTTAACTTTATATGGTGTGTAAGATTCTAAGTATCCCATTTTGAAGATCAGTCATCGAGGAATTAGTGAACAAGTTGATCAGGACAAATAACTCCTCTTCTGGTAGTTCTTTCTAATATTCTCCAAGACAAAATCAATAGTTAATAAATAAAACTCAGTTCAAATTAGTGCCTGTCTGAAGGCCCACACTCTGGGTTGTGATTGATGTATATTTTCCTGCAAAACCATAAGGTGATGATTATGGACAGCTGTATTGCTACTCCAGGAAACATAATCAATTTTATGATGGTTATAGAGCAGGGTAGAATTCAAAACATGCCAAATTGAAGTAGAAAGCAAATGCCATTTTCTTACTTAAATGTAATTTCATCTATATTAATAATATTGTAGAATATTTTATCTATTTGATGTAATATAGTCCTGTTCCTAGTATTTAAATGAAGTCTTTTGCTAACTAGAATGTTAGCTGCTATCAAGCGGTTTGGGATGTTTTTCCCTATTATTGCACAGCCATTTGTTTTCCAGTGTTCCCCATGCAGACAGGTGTAGGGTAAGCCTCGGCATCATCCCGTGTTCTATCACACATTCAAATTTAGCACCATCCTAAGTCATTACATTTAACTGGCTTTCCTCAGTGAAAAATTGTCAGGGAGAACTATCAACCAATCATTCAATATCTCCTCTTCTGAGGAATATTGTATTTCAATGGCTATACAATTTTGAGGTAGTTTTAGGATCTATGTTCAAATGGCATCTAAATACAGCCAGTTTTATCTATAAAAATAATGGAAAATATCAACAATATGGCAATCTGCTTTTCACCTTTTTTTTTTTTCACTTCTGTCAATCGTGAGGCATGAACTCAGGGCCTGGATGCTACCCCTAAGTTCTTTTGCTCAAGGCCAGCGCTCTACCACTTTGAGTCACAGTTCCACTTCCAGTTTTCAGGTGGTTAATTGGAGATAAGGGTCTCATGGCCTTTCCTGCCCAAGCTGGTTTTGAACCGCAATCCTCACATCTCAGTCTCCTAAGAAGCTAAGATTACAGGTGTAAGCCAACCAGTACCCACCTTCTTCGTTATGACTTCAGAATCTCAAAATCAAAACTACTTTGATATCATTAAATGCAATGTTCACCATATCATTAACATGAACATAGGCTGAATGTAATCTCTTCTTTTTACTTTTCCTCTTCCAGGACAGGAGGTCAAGAAATAGGTTCCAGAGGACTAGTAAGAACAGTGAACTCTTGAGAATTTTTGCTCATGCATTCTATAGATGCCTAGAACCAATCCAGTTTTCCCATGTCTTCTTAGGCATCTAGCTGCCCCTCAGGAATGGCTTTCCTTAAGCAAATACCAAGAAACACCAAGAAAGCAACAGGATGAGGTTGATTAAACAAGAGAAGATAAACTGTTTCATTGTTTTTCTGACCACTGAAGAGTCAAGAAACACTTTCAGCACAGGTGATACTGAGTTTCACTTTTCCTGACCCAAGAAATAAAACTAAATTGACATTTCTTCAATTTTAATATTGTTGGGACATTTTTAGTTTTACCAAGTTCTTAATGGAACCAAGTTCGTACCTACGTAACGTTCAACATCCATCACAGAAAAAACAGGTGGAGGGAGCCTGAGTCCAAGATCATCTAATTTAGGGACCATAATAGGGACATCAAATCCATGTTTCTCCAGGTATCTTTGCGTCAGCTGACTACCATGCATCTTTACAATGACTTCATCGGCACTGAGGAAAAAATAATAAAATGTCATTTTTGTCATTTTGTATTAAAAAGTATTGTGGTAGGTAGAGGGTGACTAATACCAAAATACATTGTGTCTTTGTGTGAAGATGTCATAAGAAATCTCACTAAAGGCTGTTAAGCAACAGGTAGTGGAGAACAGGGAAAGAAAAAGCAATAAAAGGGACTATTCTGATCAAAATATAATATATGCATATGTGAAACAGCAACAAAAAAGTACCACAGTACTTTCTGCATTAATTATCCATATCAGTGACTCTCAACTTAATTCTCCTCTTAATAAATGTTTTCTAGCCAGGTGCCAGTGGCTTATGTCTATAATCCTAGTTACTCAACAGGCAGAGTTCAGGAGGATTGCAGTTCCAGATCAGCTCAGGCAGAAAATTCACCATGCCATCTCAACAGAAACAGGTGGACTTGCTGGTACACTCCCATCATTCCAGTTACCCAAGAATAAGTAGCAGGATGGCTGTCAAGGCTCCTGGTCAAAAAGCAAGACTACCTCAAAAAGAAACCTGTCAAATAAGCTCCAAGCTCTGAATCCAAACTACAGTATCTAAAAAAAAAAAATCCTGAAACTCCTTTTGACTATCCTAAAGTAAAAGTCACAGATAGCATAATCTGTTTAATTCAAGACACGTTATTAAAAAATATATAAAATGATCAAAGTATAAATATTGCTGCTATAATCTTGAGTCTAAGAAAAGAGAATGTTGGGACTGAAGACTTTAGCACAATAAGAATTATATGGAAACAATATTTTCCTTAGTTTTCTATTTCTCAGCAGAACTAAGGGAACCAAAGTGGAAATTTGTCATTTTATGTTTCTATGTAAGGACTAAAGAAATGGAGAAGAATAGACAAGAATTCTAAAGGTTGAGGAAAAATAGCTGGGATTTTTCATTCCAAGATCTAAAAAAAAAAATCTATAATAAGCCAAATGTGATACTGTGATTTATATTTAAATTGTGCTTTCTCTTTTTAACACACAAAGATATAATTTCATATAAAAGCCTTATCAAGTATTATCACTTTAAAGAGATGTCAGACACTGAGTAGGAAATGATACAAATTAGCATGATTAAATGCTTTCTAATGCTTCTGACTCTCTTTAAGCCACAGACAATTCAAATATATTCCATTATTTTTAGAAATCAAAAGCCTCAGTCCCACTGCATCAGAGGCTAGGCAATAGTTCTGCATGCTTCTTGTAGAGCAAGTATATGGAAAGTTAAATAAAGTAAGAAAAAGAAAGTTAGAAAATAGGACACTTGAAGAAACATGAGGAGAGGCATCAAGGTAGGTGGAGGCAGCAACTGCCTATTAAAAGAAAACAAACACAGAAACCACCATTACAGATTAGTGTACTTCAAAGTTTTGGGCTTGTCACCCAAAATTAAGAGTAACATTTTTACATGACCTAAATGAGTATTCATATAGCAAAATTTCCATGAAATTATGCTTCTTACTCTTTTAACTTGCCAGGTACTGTTTCTTCTTATTCTTTTTTGTTGTTTTTATTTGCCAGTCCTGAGGCTTGAACTCAGGACCTGGGTGCTGTCCCTGAGCTCCTTTTGCTCAAGGCTAGCACTTTACCACTGGAGCCACAGCACCACTTCTGGCTTTTTCTGTTTATGTGGTACTGAGGAATCGAACCCAGGACTTCATGCATTCTAGGCAAGCACTCTACCACTAAGCCACATTCCAGGCCCGTTTCTTCTTATTCTATTTCATTTAAAAGAAAACAAAACAAAAAAGCCAATTGAGAACAATAATATGCTATAGCCTGAAGTTCAAAAAGCACTGCTTTAAACCAGGTACCAGTGGCTTATACCTGTAATCCTATTTAGGAAGATCTGAGGATGTGTTCAATGCTAGCCCTAACAGGAAAGTCTGTGAGACTTTTTTCTCTAGTTAACTACCATAAAGCTCAAAAGTAGAGCGGTAGCTCAAGTGGTAAAGCATTAGCTAGCCTTGCACAGAAAAGCTCAGGAACAGCATCTAGGGCCTGAGTTCAAGTCCCAATACTAGCACAAAAGGAAAGGGGAGGAAAAGGAAAAGGTCAAGGGAAAGGCAGGGGAGGTGAAAAGAGGGGATGAAGGAGGAAGAAGGAGGAGGGAAAAGGGAAAAGGAAAGAGAAAAGAGGAAGAAAGGAAAGGAAAGGGGAAAGGGAAAGAAAGAACACTGCTTTACATGCTATCATTTTTTACCAGCCAACATTGTTAAATTTTATTAATACATGTTTTCATACCTTGGGAAGACTCGAGAACGTAACTCCTTAACAAAAGTCCTGGTTCCAGCCTGCACTGGTTTGGAACCATCATCACTTTCTGTGTAGTCGTGCCTGTGCCAGTTCCTCCGCTTTTTCACTGAATTTTAAGTTAAAAAAAAAAAATAGTAACTGTGATACTACTTTCTAATCAACATAGTCTATATAACCAACTGTAAGTACAATAATAACACTCAGGTTTTAATGCATTTCTAGGCTATCAAAGTAAATTTTACTTAATCTAATGCTGCAATTAAAGACAATTTTAACTGTGGATTTTTAAAACCTTCTGTTTTTACTTCAAAATAAAAAATTAAATCAAAGAATTCAAGTCAAAAGATGAAACCTTTCATAATATAGTAAAAGAAGAAGTTATATAAGTATTCTATAACATTTCTAAATTGTCTGAAATGAGCATTTTCACTAGAACATTAGGTCATAATATAATTGCCCAGATCATCCAAATTATCCTCTCAGGATATCCTCTCAGAAATCTAATTTAGCAGCATAATTCCATTCTCTTTTATATAAAATTTGCTCCCAAAATTAGCATTTTCACACTGACACAGAGAACAGTTTACTGAGTCTTAAAGCAAGAAGGCTATGGTGACAAAATAAATAACTTCATGGTTAGTTTTGTGCTAAGATCCTATGATTCTACAGCTCTGTGCTATCATATTTAGTCACAATAATCAAAATCAGAAGACTTGGACTTGATTCCTAGTTCATCCATAACCTCACCTACAATTGTGTACAAGGCATTTAACACTTCTGGATCCCAGATTCCGTAAGGTGGGACTGAAGGGGACAGATTAGTAGTTTTGATTTTAAATTTTGTAAAGAAACCTTAACAAAGAGGAAGGTGAAGAAAAGGCCAAGAGAGAAACCCTGAACCTCCCCACCCACCTCCTCCTCTGCCCCGGCTGTGCCATCTACAGCTCTTTTGTATACCAATCTAAGATATTAAGATTTTTGGTTGGTTGGTTTTATGACAGTCTCACTATGTAGCCCAGAATGGCCTGGAATTCATCTTCTGTTTCTGCTTCCAGAGTAAATTTTAGATTTAAATCTTTTTTTGAAACTTGAAAATCACTCTTCAGCCTAAATAAAATTCTCAGGATTCTGGTTTTCTGATACTGATGCCTATAACTTATTTAGAATTCCATCAAAAAATAGAAAGATGATGGATAGAGAGTGGGATGGTAGGGAGAATAAGTTACAAAGCAAGTGATAGATACATTCTAACAGAATTTAGATAGTCAAGATTATATGTCATTGCTGTACATTACTTCAGCTTTTCCTATGTATGTTTGAATAGTCTCATAACAAAATGCTAGTAGAAAAACACAACTCTATGATTTCAAGTTATTTAAACCTTCCTCTTAACAAGATCATATTACAGGTATATATAAGGAAAGTCAGACTTAATACTAGGAGTAGAAATCAGGATTAATCATATCTAAGTGCCGAAGGTTCCCAAGTAACTTACTGTAAAATTGTATCTCTAATGTGGAAGAGTAAATCTCACTGTAAAAAATCTTGTTAAGAAAAATTCAGACTCACAAAGGAATCTCCTTGAGAAACTCCATTAAGAAATTGTAAGCCAGGTGCTGGTTTCTCACACCTGTAATCCTAGCTACTCAGGAGGCTGAGATCTGAGGATCACAGTTCAAAGCCAGCCCGGACAAAAATGTCCATGAGACTCTTATCTCCATTGAACTACCAGAAAACCAGAAGTGGTACTGTGACTCAAGGGGCAGAGCACTAGCCTTGAGCTGAAGACCTCAGGGACAGCACCCAGGCCCAGAGTTCAAGACCCACAACTGACAAAAAAAGCAAGCAAGGAAGGAAGGAAGCAAGGAAGGAATTGCATATTTTTTTCTCATTGAAAACAATTCCTAAAACTCAAGGGTAGATTTTTTTCCCCACTATATACAGATATATAACTTTTATTTTTAAATGAAATCACCTATTTATTCTGCATATTTTTCTTGTATCATAAGCTTTTTTCTTTATTAAATATTCAAAAGCAACTTGAAGGCAACCTAGAACTTTAAAATGTAAATGTACTATAATTAGATTTTTATTCTGAAGCACTTAGGCCATTCTCAGTTTTCTTCAATATTGTGATTAATACTGGTATATATTAATCTATTCTCTTGATTCATTCAGGATAAATTTCTAGGAAAGCCAGAAGATAATTCACCATTTTTAAGATAGTCCATAATGCAAACTGTCTCCACAAAAGTGGAGGTTAATTCAAATTCTTACCAATATGTACAGGCAGCTTACCAGTCTACTAGCTTGGGGTCTTATGTTAACAAAAATAACAACTCCTAACTATTCAAGAGGCCTCTAAGATCTAAAGATCTTGGTTTGAAGCCAACCTGAACAAGAAACTCGATGATACTCTATTCCAAAAAAGCCAGAAGAGGAGCTGTGCTCAAAGAGCACTAGCCTTCAGCACAATGCCCAGGCCCTGAGTTTGAGCTCCCAGAAGAGTGAGAGAGAGAGAGAGAGAGAGAGAGAGAGAGAGACATACACAAATAAATAAATAAATAAATAAATAAATAAATAAATAAATCTGCTCATTCGATAAAAACTATGGTACTTCGTTGTAAATCTTTTCACTTCTGCAAAAACACATGGTGTTCTTGAGCTACAGCTCCACTTCTTGCTTTTTTGGTGCTTGCCTAGAGATAAGAGTCTCACAGACTTTCCTGCCTGGGCTGGTTTTGAACTGTGATTCTCAGATTTCAGCCTCCTAAGTAGCTAGGATTACAGATGTGAGCATTTTTTGTTGCTTTGGGTTTTTTTTTAAACAATGGTGCTTATATACAAGGCCTTGAGCTAGAATATCTATTTACATTGTTAATGAAATGACTCCAGGATTCAGTAGCTTTGCGTTTAAACATAGCTTTGCAAAACAGCTACATACTTAAGATAATTTTTCTCATATACTAAGTTGCCATAAGTTTCAAAAGAAAAATATAGGTAAATACTTAGTCATCAATAGACCCATCATATAATAAACTGCCAATTACTATCGTCTTTAAATGTGCTGACATGTAGGAGATTAACAGAAGGTATGATTACATGATTTGATCAACATGCTTTAAAAAATACAAAATCTCCAATTAACCACGAGAAAACTGCAAGTAGTGCTGTGGCTCAAGTAGTATAGTGCTAGCCCTGACCTCAAGAGCTAAGGGACAGCGCCCAGGCCCAGAGTTCAAGCCCCAAGACCAACAACAACCACCAAAAAAGTCCCACAAAATAAGCCATAGCTAACTAAATTTCATAAGGGAAAGAGATCAATGAAGGAATATTTTAGTAATGATCATAGGAAAATAAGAGAAAAAGTTCTGTTTGTGTTGCATAACTAAGCAAGTGAGATAAATTTTTAAAAGTAAGGTTTATAAGGAAAATAGAATGGCACCATAAGCACATATTTCTGCCTTTTTTTTTCGGTCAGTCGTGGGACTTGAACTCTGGGCCTGGGTGCTTCCCTGCGCTCTTCAGCTCAAGGGGAGTGCCCTACCACTTGAGCCACAGCACCACTTCCAGTTTTCTGAGTGGTTTATTGGAGATAAGAGTCTCACAGGCTTTCCTGCCCAGGCTGGCTTTGAACCGTGATCCTCAGATCTCAGCTTCTTGAGTAGCTAGGATTACAGGCATGAGCTACTAGTGCCTGGCTCATTCTTCTGCCTCTTAATTTAATGTTTTGTACAAGTTTAAGTACAAATTTAATTCAAATTATTTCATTTTGGGATTATACTTAAATTCTCTAAGACTAAATATTGATGCATTCAGAATCCAAAGCCTTTTAAATATTTTCTTTCAATTTTGTACAATAATTACTATTCTAATTTCTTTCTCAGAGCATTTGAAAAACACTAAAAGTACTTATTTCTTTGTGATGCTGGTATACATCAAAATATGCAGGAGGCTTCCCTGCCTTTGCTTTGCCCTTTTCAGGAGGAATGTGATCACAGACCTACTCTGGCCTTATTATACTGCCTCTCTGTATCTCTGTGAACAGCAGCAATGGAGTTTCAAGCAGAGAAATGGGCTAAGAAAGACTCACTATTAACAACCAAATTCAGAAAATATAAGTAATATTTTAGCCTAAGAACACCCTAATTTCGTCCTAAACATATAATGCATGTGTTCATTAGAGTCAAATCTTATTCTGGGTACTATCCCAAAACACTATTGTGAGAATTTCTGAGAAAAGATAAAAAACAGCCAGTAAGTTTCCAGAACCAGAAATTTTTACTTTACTATGTATGCTTCCCAAATTTCAATCTTTGAAAATATGTAATTAAGTTTGAAAGCTATGCACTGGCAAATAAATTTCATTTACTGAATAAATTATTTAACCATTCAGACAAAACCTGCATAATAAGTTTCCTCAGTGAAATCTCCACAGGTATAGCGTACCATACACCTAGGACTTACTCAGGGAGGAGCCATGTAGAACTGCACAGTTGGGACAGTGATACAGGTCAATGTCAACAGCATGATGTTCTTCTACTCCAACACAGCTAAGAAAAATAAAGGCAATAAAGTAATTCAATCAAAAGTCCTTTCTCAATGGTAATACAGTATCTGGAACTGATGTAAGAAATGTTCAACAACCTCACCAGCAAATTTTGTACAGTACAAAAACGTAAACAATGATAAATTTTATTTTCTTCTCCATACACATTATTTTTTTCCCCTAATCCTGGACTTGAACTCAAGGCTTGGGCACTGTCCCTGAGCTGCTTCTGCTCAAGGCTAGCACACTCTACCATTTGAGCCACAGTACCAATTCTGGCCTTTTCTGTTTATGTGGTGCTAAGGAATCAAACCCAGGGCTACATGAATGCTAGGCAAGCACTCAACCACTACGCCACATTCCCAGCCCAGATACACATATTACATAATTATAAGCAAGACAATTCCCAAATATATGTGAAGTAATTCACAACAGCAGTAGAGACAATAGAAATAATGTAAGTATAAGCTGTAAAACCCTCAACCACCATGTAAATGCCCTATTTTATAGGTTTGATGTCAATGAGTTTAAAGATAAATAATGAAGGTATAAATATTATTTTGAGCTGAGCAACAATGAATTATTACATAACAAAATCTGTGAGACAGGATGCCAAACTTTCAAAAATGTAAATGTATCTCCTTAGATAAATGTGCTGAAAAAGAAAAGGCTGAGCTAAATAAGTTAAGTCTATACCACAAGAAATTACAAAAGTAGGCAAAATAAAACTTTAAAACAGAAACAGAAGCCAGATGTCAGCAGCTCATGCCTGTAATCCTAGCTACTCAGGAGGCTGAGATCTGAGAATGATGGTTCAAAGCCAGCCCGGGCAGGAAAGTTCATGAAACACTTACCTTCATAAACCACTCAGAAAACCAGAAGTGGTGCTGTGGCTCAAGAGGTAGAGTGCTCGCCTAGAGCTGAAGAGCTGAAGGATAGCGCCCAGGTCCAAAGAACAAAAACAAAAAAACAAGTTCTAGCTACTCCAAGAGGCTAAGATCTGAGGATCATGGCAAGCCCAGGAAGGAAAGTCTGGGAGAGTCTTACCTCTAATAAACTACCAAAAAATAAATAAAAGCCAGAAGTGGAGCTGTGGCTCAGTAGAATGTAGCTTAGTAAAGTTGTTGAACATTCCCTTAGTCCCTGAGTTCAAGCCCCAGGACCAGTACAAAACAAAAACAGAAACAGAAAGCAAAAAACTAAGTATATAATGGTATCACACCAAAAACTGATTCTTTAACCAAATATCAATTATTTGAAAAGATTTATAAAATTAGCAAACCTTAACAAGATCAAGATAAAAGAAAGAAAACCCTATCAGGAATATTTTTTAAAGGACAAAACAAAATAATTTGTTTTATACATTAAGTGCAAAAGGGGCTATTATTAACATACTTATGCTAAAAGACTTAAATATATATGTGTATGTATGCTTGTGTGTAGACACATACAATCTGAATCCTGGGGAAAAAATAGAATTCTTGTAAGTATTAATTTCTTTAGAGACAGGGGAGGCACCAGGGCTTGAACTCAGAGCTTGTGCACTACCCTCTAGTCTTTACAAAATTTTTGCAACTGCCACACACAGAAAACTCTAGGCCCAGAGGACCTAAGACCTCATAAACAACTCTATCAAATACTCTAAAAACAATTATAATAAATTTGTTTAAAGAGAGGAAGCATGATATATTCTGTATCTCATTTTATGGCAGTATAACCTTGGTACCAAAAATTAGACTATACATTCACTTGTAAGTGTTATCTTCAGCCATACTAAAATAACTTCTGTTCATGAAACTATAAGGAGCTCTTATCATATAAAATATTTATCAAAATGAACTCCAGGAAATGGAAACAACATTTTTCTTTTTTGCTGCTTTTGTTTTCTTTTTGTCTTGTTCATTTATCTTTAGGAGGGGAAGAGAAAGGCACAGAAATAGAGGGACAAAGGGTAAACAGATACAGCAATGGTACTTTATACTAGACACTATATTTAAAATGAACTATACAACTTGTAGATGGGGATGGGAGGGAAACACTGGGGAAAACAGAGGAAAGAGGTGACATTGTCCAAAAAGGAATGTACTCATTATCTGACTTATGTAACTGTAGCACTTCTGTACATCACCTTCATAACGATAAAAAAATAAAATTTAGGGGCTGGGAAGGTGGCTCAGTGGTAGAGTGCTTGCCTTGCATACATGAGGCCCTGGGTTCGATTCCTCGGCACCACATAAGCAAAAAGAAAAAAGCCGGAAGTGGTGCTGTGGCTCAAGTGGTAGAGAGCTAGCCTTGAGCTGAAGAGCTGAGGGATAGCGCTCAGGCCCAGAGTTCAGGCCCCACAACCGGACCCAAAAATAAATAAATAAAATAAAATTTAAATTTAAGAAAGATAAAAAGTAAACCTTCTTAAGCTGGGCATTGGTGGCTCATGGGTATGATCACAGCTCCTCAGGAAGCTGAGATCTACACATCATGGTTCAAAGCCAACCCAGGCAGAAAAGTCTATGTGAGACTCTTATCTCCAATTAAGCATCAGAAAAGCCAGAATGGAGCTGTGGCTCAAGCGGTAGAATGCTAGCCTAAAAGACAAAACAAAACAAAACAAACCTCAGGTATAACATCCAGGCCCTGAGTTCAAGCCCCAGGACCAGCACCAAAAAAAAAAAATGTATATGGTGTTGGCTCAGGATACAAGTTTCTGAGATCTGACACCAAAATTACATGAAACTAAAGGAGAAAAAAGATAAACTGGACTTTACACTTTAGTCTGTTTTCTCAGCTTATTTTGGTATGAGTTAATCAAATGGGTATGGAGAGAAATAATGAAATAAAGTATAAAACAGATGCACTAGAAAATGAAAAACCAAGAAATGTATAAAATCTTGCTAGGCACTATTAAGAATCCACAAGAAGTTTGTTATAAACAAATTCAAAAACATTTCTTCATGATTATTTTTTTTCAAACCACACTCAGTCTAGTATGATCCCAAAATGAAACTGGTAGCTGCGAGTTCTTTAGGATAAAAATTAAACAGTTGAGGGTATTTGATGGGAATTAATACAATGATGACTTGTGACATTTAGGCTGCATTAAAGGGGTGTAACAAAATGATCTTTTTTTTTTTTTTTTTGGGACCGGTCGTGAGGCCTGAACTCTGGGCCTGGGCGCTGTCCCTCAGCTTTTCAGCTCAAGGCTAGCACTCTACCATTAGAGCCACAGCTCCACTTCCAGCTTTTTTCTTTTTGCTTATATGGTGCTGAGGAATCGAACGCAGGGCCTCATGCATGCAAGGCAAACGCTATACCACTGAGCCATCTTCCCAGCCCACAAAATGATCTTTGAGGTCTCCATGTAATTACTAGAATTTACTTAGTAGATCTTGAGCAACTGATCTAGATGAAACAAATTATGCTCGAAGAGGAGAATGCTTCTGGGCACTAGAGGCTTATTCCTGTAATTCTACTTACTCAGGAGGCTGAGATCTGAGGACTGCAGTTCTAAGCCAACCCAGCGGGAAAGTACATGAGATTTTTTTTTTTCTTTTTCATCCAGTCGTGGGGCTTGAACTCTGGGCCTGGGCACTGTCCCTCAATTCTTCAGCTCAAGGCTAGCACTCTACCACTTGAGCCACAGCGCCACTTCCGGCTTTTTTCTTTTTGCTTATGTGGTGCTGAGGAATCAAACCCAGGTTTTCGGCGGTGGGGCTTGAACTCTGGGCCTGGGCACTGTCCCTCAGCTCTTCAGCTCAAGGCGAGTGCTCTACCACTTGAGCTACAGCGCCACTTCCGGTTTTCTAGTGGTTTATTGGAGATAGGAGTCTCACGGTCTCTCCTGCCCGGGCTGGCTTTGAACTGCGATCCTCAAATCTCAGCCTCCTGAGTAGCTAGGATTACAGGCGTGAGCCACCACCGCCCGGCCCTACATGAGATTCTTATCTCCAATTAACTACCAAAAAGTAGAGCTGTGGTTAAATGGGCAGAGTGATATCCTTGAGCAAAAGAAGCTCAAGGACAGTTCCCAAGCCTCGAGTTCAAGCCCTAGGCAAGATAGATAGATAGATAGATAGATAGATAGATAGATAGATAGATAGATAGATAGATAGATAGATAAGATAGATATAGATAGATATATTAGATATAGATAGATAGATAGATAATAGTAATAAAGTTCTTAAGCAACAAAGGACATAATTACTAAACTGGAAAGAGAGCCAACAGACTAGGAGAAAATCTTTACTAGCAATACATCTGACAAAGGCTTAATATCCAAAATATACAAGACCGGAAGTGGTGCTGTGGCTCAAGTGGTAGAGTGCTAGCCTTGAGCTGAAGAGCTGAGGGACAGCGCCCAGGCCCAGAGTTCAGGACCCACGACAGGAACCAAAAAAAAAAAAAAAAAAGTTCCAAAATATACAAGGAGCTCAAAAATTAACACCCCCTCCCAAAAAAACTAATAAACCAATCAGTAAGTGGGCAAAGGAGCTAAATCTGAACTGAGCTAAACCATAAACTCATCTCTGAATATCTAGGAAACATGAGATGAACATTGCAACTAGCCAAAGACACCTTGTAAAACTTGGCTAAAAGAGGCATGAGTTCCTCTCCCCATCTTCTACTCTTCACTCATTTATTACCCCCCCACACTATATAATCTATTTTACTCGAATGTCAGTGATATCTTCAGATTTGGTTCATTTCCAATTCCCAAGAACACTTATATCTACACTTATTTTGAAATTTCACTTAGAACGTCTGGTAAATCAGTAAAATTTGATAAACTGTATAAATAGGTCAGTAAATTGGATAAACAAATCTTAAAATAATCATATTTCTGGAATTGGTGGCTGATGCTTATTATCATAGCTACTCAAGAGACTGAGATGTGAGGATCAAAGCCAGCCTAGGCAGAAAAATCTGTGAGACTCTTAATCTTCAATTAACTAGCAAAAAGCTGGAAGTGTGACTCAATTGAGAAAGCACCAGCTTTGAGCAAAGAAGCCA